TCTTTCCCAAGAAAAATATTCAACGCATAAAAAAATCAAAACTCTGCCTACAAATTTTAATGTATTCACAAACTCCCTGAAGCCAAGTTCAGAACCTTTGCTCTGGAAGCAATCCCGCTTTAATCAAATGTGTAGGTTTGTGAGGAGCATAATTTACAGTGACTTAGAGGGTTCGTTTCACATTTATAACTAACTGGCTTAGCGAGTGCAGGGTGATACAGTAAGAAATAGACCAAAACTTCTTCCTTACATCGTGCATTTCCTATAACGTTCGGGGTTGAAGAACTTCTGAAGGGAAAGATCGTTCACTCATCTGTGCGTTCGTGCAGTCAGCGCTCATTGAGCACAGTCAGAGAGGAAAATTTTCCCTCTGCCCTTCTGGGTTCTTGTGTCTGGTCTAAGAATTAAATTGACATGAGACAGATGAACGGGAGAAAACCAAACAAGAGTTTGATAACAGGTATACACAGGAGAATCCCAGGAAAACTGAGTAATCCCCCCAAATGGGCAAAACCCTCCCGTTAAACACCATCTTCAGCTAAAGACAAAGGAGGATGTCGCGGGTGCTAGTTTGGGACTCAGAGGGGAGAAGGGCAGTTCACACGGGGATGGGGAAGCGGGTGTTTCCTGGGCCAGAAGAGACAAGGGACAGAGTCCCTCCGATGGAGACACTCTCACCTCCAGGCCCTGCTGAGTCCCCACCACGCCTGGCCCAGTATTCTTTACAGACCTCTCTGGTGACAGCTCTATTCAGGGGGAACAGGCACTTTATCTCAATTGTTTTAGGCAGTTAAGGGAGAGATAAGAAAAACTTCCTGAGACTTCTGTCTCTTAAAAATAATCAGCCTGGGGCTTCCCTGGTGGCGCAGTGCTTGAGAGTCCGCCTGCCGGTGCAGGAGACGCGGGTTCGTGCCCCGTTTCGGGAGGATCCCACGTGCCGCGGAGCGGCTGGGCCCGTGAGCCGTGGCCGCTGAGCCTGCGCGTCCGGAGCCTGTGCTCCGCAAATGGGAGAGGCCACAACAGTGAGAGGCCCGCATAACGCAAGA